AATCCTTTAATATGCTGTGGATTTGATTTGCTTACATCTTGTTGAGGATTTTTACATTTACATTTATAAGAGATATTGACCTGTAATTTTCTTTACTTGAGATGTATATCTGGCTTTGGTATTAGGTCTTACAGTGTGAGTTAGGAATCATTCCCTCTTCTTCAAATTTTTTTAGAACAGTTCGAGAGTTGGTGTTAATTCTCCATTAAATGTTTGATATAATCCATTGGTGAAACCATCTGGTGCAAGACTTTTCTTTGGAGGTTTTTGATTACTTAATCAAAATCTTTACTAATGACAGATGTATTGAGATTTTCTATTTCTTTTTCAGTCATTTTAGGTAATTCATGGTTTCAAGGAATTGTCTAGTATTTTCCAGGTTATTTAATTTGTTGGCATACAATGTTCACAGTATTCTTCTATAATCTTTTTATCTCTGAAATGTCAAGTATAATGTCCTCGTTTTTATTTCCGATTTTATTTATTTGCATGTTTTCTCATTTTTCTTTGTCAATGTAGCTAAAAGTTTGTGATATTGTTGATCTTTTCAAAGAAACAACTTTGGTTCCATTTATTTATTTATTTATTTATTTTTTTATTCTCTATTTTGTTTATCAACATTCTAATGTGTATTATTTCCTTTTGCTAGCTTTGGGTTTAGTTTGCCCTTCTTTTTCTCGTTTCTTAAGGTATAAAGTTAGGGTATCATTTTGAGATTGTTCGTTTTTTTTTTTAATGTCACCATTTACAACTATAATTTTCCCTCTGATCACACTGTGTGCCTTGCATCATGTAATTTTGTTATGTTGTGTTGTCATTTTTCTAAGTATATTCTAACTTTGTATTTCTTTGACCCATTTGTTGTTTAAGAGTGTGTTTAATTTCCACACATTTGTGAGTTTTCCTTTTGTTATTGATTTTTAACATCATCCCATTTTGGTGGGAGAAGATACTTTGTATGATACTTATCTATTTAAATCTATTGAGACTTGCTTTGTGGCCTAATATTTGGCCCGTTCTGGAAAATGTAATGTGAACTGGCAAAGAATGTGTATTGTGTTGTTTTGGGTAGAATGTTCTTTATATATCTCTTAAGTCTAATTGGTTTATTGTGATGTTCTAGTCCTCTACTTCATTACTTATCTTCTATCTGGTTGTTCTATTTATTATTGAAAATGAGGTATTGAAGTATCAACTATTGTAGAACTCTTTATTCCTCCCTTTAATTCTGTCAACTTTTACTTCATATATTTTGAGAGTCTGTTACTGGATGTGTAAATGTTGATAACTTTCATATATAATCTTGCTCTGTTGAACCTTTTATTAATATGTAATGTTTTCCTTTGTCTCTTATAACCTTTTTTTTTTTTTTCATTTAAAATCCATTTTGCATGATCTTAGTATAACCACTCTTGCTCTCTTTTGGTTACTATTTGCACGGAATATCTTTATTTTACCCTTTCACTTTTAACCTATTAACATCTTTGGATCTAGAGTACATCTCTTCTAGACTGCATATAGTTGGATCATTAAAAAAAAAAAAAAACTATTCCGCCCATCTCTGTCTTTTGATTGGAGAGTTTTAGCCGTTTACATTTAAAGTAATTACTGATTAAGAAGGACTTATTTCTGCCATTTTGCTATTTGTTTTCTGTGGGCCTTATATATTTTGTGCTTTCATTTCTATTACTGCCTTTTTCTGTGTTTATTTGATATTTGAAGTGAAATGTTTCGATTCACCTCATTTCCTCTTTCGTATTTTCTATAGATATTTTCTTTGTGGTTGCCATGAGAATTACATTTAACGGCCAATAGTTATAACAATCTAATTGAACTGATACCAACTTCAATACCATTCAAAAAACTCCTGTACAGCTCTGTCCCTCTTCCTGTTATTGATGTTCGATTACATCTTTAAACATTGTATACCCAATAATGTATTTTTATGAATTTATCTTTTAAATCATGGAGGAAATACAAAACTGACTTAAAACTATAATTACAGTAATATTTGCTTTTATTATTGTGTATGTATTAATCTTGACTGGAGACCTTTATTTCTTTATAGCTTCTAGTTACTGTCGAGTGTTTTTTCATGTCAATTTGAAGGCTTCCCCTTAGCATTTCTTGAACGGCAGGGTCAGTAGTAACAAACTCCCTTGGCTTTTTTTTTTTTAATAATTAGGGAGTATGTTAATTTCTTGTTTTTGAAGGACTTTTTTGCTGGATATAGAATTCTCTGTCAACAGTTTTTTCCTTTTAGCACTTTGAATATTATCAAACCACTGCCTTCTGGCCTCCAACGTTTAAAATAAGAAATTGGCTGATAATGGAGGATCCCTTAAATGTGATTAGTCACTTCTCTCTTGCTGCTTTCAATATTCTTTTTTTGGCTTTCTACAGTTTGATAATTATTCTTCCTTCCCTTTCTTCTTCTCCTGGGACTTTTTCACGGGTATGTTGTTTCTCTTGATAATGTCCTACAGATCCCTTAGGCTCTGTTCATGTTTTTTCATTCTTTTATTTATTTATTTTTTGTTTGTTTCTCAGATGGAGTAGGAAGCACAAGGAATCCATCTCTCTACCTAGACAACAATTGTACTGGCAGAAACTGAAGTAACTATTTTGGAACTCTGGAGTCTATTTGAAAATTTGGATCTTCCAGGGGAAAGCTTGGTTGGTAAATTGAGGTTAATTCCAATCAATGTCAGCCTTAAGTGATAGTAGCTACCCATCTCCTATTCCTGGAACCTATGGCAGACAGCCACGTTTAATTTCTGGTATGGCTTGCTGGGGCCAGGGTGGGAAATAAGAACCTTGTTCTCCAAATACCTTAGTTCTGTGTTCTGATAACTGATGCTTTTGAGTTCTGAGGTACAGTCGCAGAGGCTGGCTGTTACTGTTTCAACCCTTGTA